TTTGCATCTCTAGTCCGAACTAGGGAGCAAATGTAGACGTACCCAAACAGGACTCTGAACTAAGCCCATTAAATAACAGAATATTTAATTTCCATCATAAAGTGTAACAACTATTTCATTTCATGTAGCAATATGAATCATCATAGCTTGTTTGCTAAATCAAGAAGATGGACAATTTTGTTTTATGCCTCAAAGGATCAATCCCTGTAAGATATCAAATAGCTATGGAATGTGTTGCAGTGTTAATGTTCTTTTTATTTGATTTCATACTAAATATATGAAGTCATGTACCTTGTTAACTATCCCTTGTTTCAGAATTTTTTCTTCTATAAAATTATAAAACTATAGTTAGCTAAGCTCTTTGTGAGTAACTGGCGGGTACCACAATAGCCTACATCCGCACAAGCGAAAACGACCTCACTAGTGGTGCACATTATGAAACTCACTCCACCCATTGGCAGCCGCAGTCCTTTTAGCCACTGGGACACCCTGAGAAAAGCAGCAGGAACGGGGCCAAGTGCGAGTCAGGCTGAGGGGGGCAGGCAAAACTCATCTTGCCTTGAAGACACAAGCACAAACAACCTCACTAGTGGCGCACATTGTGAAACTCACTTCACCCATTGGCAGCCGCAGTCCTTTCAGCCACTGGGACACCCTGAGAAAAGCAGCAGGAACCTTGTATACTGCCACAGAAAAAAACATGCCTGAGAGAAGTGTCGGCCTTAGAAAGCTGCAGACAGTTGCTAAAGTAGTTCAGTAGAGAGAGTGTTAGACTGAAGATTTGAAGGGTCCTGGTTCAATCTCTGGCTTTGGCACAAGCCTTTCTTGAGATGGCTTCATCTATTTTGGCATCTCTGGTAAGCACACATCTGGGCTATGTCTACACTTTTGGGTTCTTGTGCAAGAAGTTTTGCACAAGAACACATCCACACTGCCTTGTGTGAGCTGTGCTTTTGTGCAAGAGCATCCATGGCGGTGTGGATGCTCTCTTGTGCAAGAACTTTCTGATGGCCATTTTAGCCATAGGGATTTCTTGCACAAGAAACCCCTTCCGAGCGTCCACACTGCCCTCTTATGTAAGAGCCCCTGTGCAAGAGGGCTTACACCTGCTAAAAAAAGAGCATAGCTCTTGCACAAGAAGCCCTCTCTTACCATGCCATACTGTAAATCTTCTTGCGCAAAAGGAGGCGGGCAGCATGGACGCTCTGCAGATTCTTGCACAAGAACAGCCATTCTTGCACAAGAACCCACCAGTGTAGACATAGCTCTGCAGTTGAGTTCAAAAGCTGTATCAAGAGGCCGGGAATGACATCATAAAGACGATGATATTTCAGGGTTAGAAACTGGAGAGGGGATTTTATGCCACCTCAGAGATTGTTGACACAGTAGAACAGGGCTCTTGGCTTCAGCTGCTCCTAGCTGTCGTGGAATAAACACACGCAAGCTTTAGGGTTCAAGACGGACAAAACCAAATTAATAAACCAGCTGGGGGCAGGGGGGTGTTTGTCACAGATGGCAGGGAGTCACCACTTACCAATACAAGCCCCTTCCTCGCACTCAAATGCCTGAGATATTTATACCTTCTTACAAAGTCACAGTGAAAATTTACAGAGAAAAGAGGACGTAAGTAAGTCACTTTATCCTTAAATAGTAATCTCTGCTTGACCAGATAACAAATTGCAAGCAGTGCAATTTTTTGTTTGTTTGTTTAACAGCATTGTGGTTTCTTGCTCAATTTGCTTAGGAAGCTCGCTTCTAACGCAGGATGCACTGCGTACGGTTCAGTCTTTGGCCAAGCTAGTGAGGCCTACCTCCACAGTATGTGTTGGACATAAATATTTTACTTAAGTTAAAATAAAGTTTGATCAACTAACATGAAAAAGTTAAAAGGTTTAATCTCTTTAATAATTTAAATGCAACTGCCCAGATGCAGTCCTAGCAAAATGGCTTGACTAATTATGTAATTAACAGTGCGTTTCCATTAGCAACAGTAATCTACAGACGGTTTGGAGAGGACAGGGCTGTGATTGGCCGGGCCAGGCCAGGCACGAGCACCGCTGAGGGAATCCACTCAGGGGAAATTGCTGACAGCCCTTGACTGGAGACCTTTCCAAAACAGGCCACAAACCAGTTACACTGAGTACTTCAGCTGCCAATCCAGCCTGCAGGAAGCCTCATGAGCAAAATCCCTCAGATACCCCAGCTCTTCCTGTGCCACACTCAGCCCTGGGCTTACACACAGGTGAGGGGTTATACAGCCCAATCTCTCCAACCCAGAACAGATCCACCTGGTTCCAAAGAACCAGGCATGAATCCCTGGTCAATTTATACTTTAGATCTTACCCACCAGATCACAGTGGACCAATACTTTAGAATCTAAAGGATTATTAATAAAAGAAAGAAAAGGTTGAGAGTAACGTTGTTAAGGAGAATACATTGTATACATCAATCAGCAAGTTCTTGATGCAGGATCTTAGCAGAGATGTTACAAACTGCTAGCATAAAAGGATTTGGCGTACATTGTATGTCAGGATGGGTCAGCAATCCTTCCTGTGTCTCTGTCCTTAGCAAGGCTGCATCTGGGATAAGTAGCAAGACTGAAGACAAGATGGAGCCCCCCTCATGGCATTTGATATTCATTTCTGGTGTCTCCCAAGCTGGAGCTAGTTACATGGTCAAGTGACCTGTTTCATATGCCAGCAGCCATTGTGCCCTGGCTGCTTTGCAGCTTTCCACACGCATTCCTCAGCTGTGTATTGGCCACCCTGAGAACCATTGTCCTTGGAACCATACGGATTAGCATAGTAACTCATTGCACATTCCTTCCTCATACCAGGCAGTCCATACACAGCATCAGCAGAGCCCATAGTCATAACTCCCCATACAAACTTCAAACAAGTACATGAATACCACACATAGAATCAGCACAATATCAGCTTTCATTTGACACCTCACATGGCCCACTCTGTACAAATTTGGGGCAAACAGTTTCCCGTGAGTACACCAATGATCTTAAGGTGGGTATGCTAACCTTAAAATCCAATAAAGTGACAGGGGCCTCAAGAAAGGGTTGGGGTCTTGAAGAAGGATCTGGGATGCAGAAGCAGGCAGGTGTCTGGCCTGGGGGTAGGTGCAGTGTGTGGCCAGGAGAGAGGGTGCAAGAAAAAAGGAGGGTGTCAGTGCAAGCTGGGGGTGCTGGCTGCTGGGAAAAAGAGAATTGAGGAGATTGGGAAGGAGCATCTGGGAAGGACAGCAAATATTACCTGGCTTTGGGACCCCTTGCAGCAACATCTCCAGCCACACTGTCCTGGCCACCCCGGAAGGAGGCTCTATGGCTGCAGCAGCAACCACACAGACTAGGACCAGCCCCGGACACCAGAGGCACCATTACTGCACCCATTCAGTCCAGGGCTGGAGGTATTGCTGCTGCAGCCATGCACCCCAGGAACAGCCCCGAGCCACCACTGACATGGCCATGTGGCCCTTGAGGCCAGCAGTGCAGTGGCAGCAGTGCCTCTAGTGTCAGCCTCAGGTTGAGTGGCAAAGACTCATCCTAGCGCTGCCTCCTCTCTAGTGGTTACAAAGCATGAAGAGCGGGTGGGGCTAAGCTCCTTCCCCCTCAGTACATCTTCATTTGGAGGTGGGGCCTGGCACTGCCTTTTGGACAGGATCAAAATCCTTCTTAAAGACAGGTTCTATGTTTGGAGCATCTGCTTTTCGATAATGACAGTGGGCCAAATTCTTATCTGGTGTAAATCTGAGACAAGAGCTTGATCCAATATTCACTGATGTTAGTGGGAAGAATGTTTTTGCTTGACTTCAGTGGGCATTAGGGTGGGTACTTTTTACATTAGACCCACTCCTGCTCCCACTGAATTAAGAGAGAATCAGGTGAGCTGAATTCTTCATTGCCTTGTGGCCTCATTTACTGTGTGGCTGAAGGTGAAGCTTTTCCCAGTCAGAGCAGCTGCAGAGTTTCTCTCCTGTGTGGGCTCTCCTATGTCTAACAAGGTGCGATCGCCGACTGAAGCATTTCCCACAGTCAGAGCAGCTGAAGGGTTTCTCTCCTGTGTGGACTCTCCTATGCATAACAAGGCTTGAGGTCCGACTGAAGTTTTTCCCACAATCAGAGCAGCTGAAGGGTTTCTCTCCTGTGTGGACGCTCCTATGTCTAACAAGGTGCGATCGCCGACTGAAGCATTTCCCACAGTCAGAGCAAGTGAAGGGTTTCTCTCCTGTGTGGACGCTCCTATGTCTAACAAGGTGCGATCGCCGACTGAAGCATTTCCCACAGTCAGAGCAAGTGAAGGGTTTCTCTCCTGTGTGGACGCTCCTATGTCTAACAAGGTGCGATCGCCGACTGAAGCATTTCCCACAGTCAGAGCAAGTGAAGGGTTTCTCTCCTGTGTGGACGCTCCTATGTCTAACAAGGTGCGATCGCCGACTGAAGCATTTCCCACAGTCAGAGCAAGTGAAGGGTTTCTCTCCTGTGTGGACGCTCCTATGTCTAACAAGGTGCGATCGCCGACTGAAGCATTTCCCACAGTCAGAGCAGCTGAAAGGTTTCTCTCCCGTGTGAACTCTTCTATGAATAACAAGCTGTGACCGGTCATTGAATCTTTTCCCACAGTCAGAGCAGCTGAAGGGTTTCTCTCCTGTGTGGGTTCTCCTATGCCTAACAAGGTATGACTGCCGACTGAAACTTTTCCTGCAGTCAGAGCAGCTGAAGGGTTTCTCTCCTGTGTGGGTTCTCCTATGCCTAACAAGGTATGACTGCCGACTGAAACTTTTCCTGCAGTCAGAGCAGCTGAAGGGTTTCTCTCCTGTTTGTGATCTTTCATGCTTAATAGGAGTTGCACTGTCACTACAAGCACAAGGTGAATGTTGATGGGGGATTTTCTTTTGAACAGTTTCTGTGTTTGTTTTCAACCTTCTGATCCTCTGACTGGATTTATCCTCTCCTGCTCCTTGATAGTATCCCTGCTGCCTTTGTAGACTACGTGGATGGTTTCCCTGCTGCCTTTGTAGACTACGCTGTCTCTCACGAGTCTCTCCTTGCTCAGGACTCTGAGAAACATGCCCTTCACATCTTTCTACTAACACTCCACATGGAGCCATTCGCTCAGGTCCTTCCTTCTGAAGACTCCTCTCACTGTTCTCATTCAGCATCCCATCACCTGCTGGGATAGACAGAGAAAGCACACAGGAGTCATTCTCTGTGCTGAGCTGAAATAAAAATTCGGAATGGTGAATAGAAAATGCAGGACAAACCCAAAAAATGGCTGGAAAAATACAATAATCATGACCTGAGTTCACCCTGCTTCCCCCATCAATCTTTCCCCACCCAGCACTCTCAGACTGGAGTTGAGACAGGCTGAAGGGCCAGTCAGACTTGATGAAAACACACAACCAACATCTGCTATGCAAACACAGAAATTGGTCTGAGTCAGTTTAGCTGATTTCTCACCTGTGTGGGTGTCACTGATGATCTCCCCTTCCTCACAGCCTTGGAGATCCAGTATCTGCAGCTCTTCCCCTCGCTCCATCCAGGAAAGCACATGAGCTTTGGAGACTGGAATTCCTGCTTCCAAAGCCAGGATCTGAGTCTCCTACCCAGAAAGGCTCCTTCCCCACCTTCCAGAGACTGGTCTCTGGCTGGTACAAGATCCCAGAACACACTAATTCGATACCCCTCCTACCCCACTACCATGTTGGGAATAGCTCAGCTAACTCCCATGGGGAACTGAGCGCGCTGCTGCACCCTGCAGGATACAACTCAGTCTCCTTTAGGGCCTGTTCCATACTTGGGCAGGACAGGAACACACTGCTCATAAGGGGAGAGCTCTAAGACTTTCAGGACTGACAGATGCCCCTAGCCAGGACTCATATTTGAGCTGACATACGTCAGGTCTCTAGGGCTGAGAGGGAAAGGATCCAGGGGAGCTCTAGAGCCTTATGGGCTCTGTCCACAAAGCTTTTGGCTGGGGGATGGAATTGCTCTCTACTAGAGCCAGAAGGAGGCAGGGGAATTGTCTGATCAGGAAAATGAATCCTTGGCTGGCCACTTCAGGCCCTGCCTATGGTCCACACTCCTGATCCTGACTGACTGTGCCATGGTGGGCCCTGTGAGCTGCCCACAACAAGCTGTCAGTCCTGAAGATAGCCAGGACAGAGCCGGCCTGTTCCTGTGGCCAGCCAAGGTGGAGACAGGATGGGCTGCTTCTCTGCTGCTCGTAGATGCTCCTGCAGCTCAGCTCCCCTTCTGCAGCCTTGGTTCTACTCTGCCAGCAGCAGCAGCAGCCTTCCTCTGGTGGTCAGTCGAGCCTGCCATTTGGTGCCCCTCTGGCTTACACAGAATCTACCAGAGGCAGGGAAGGACTCTTAGTTGGCACCCTCCTTCCAGGGGCTCAGCACAATAGCACAAGGGGACCCTGCAGACACTAAGAGCAGCTGCACCCAGCCCCACAACTCTGGTATCTGCCTGGGCCCTTCCACTGACACCTCTGGCCAAAGCACAAAATGGGCAAGATGGTTGAAACCACAATGAGACCTTGGCTGTGGGAAGAGCAGCACCACTATTATGTCACTGAACCTCCTCTCACACAGGAGCCAGGATTACTGGGGCACATACTGCTGATACTGGGGGTTTGGGCAATAAAGGACCCTGAACCAAACACTACCCAGCTGCCCCAGAGCCCATCCAGCTTTTGTTACATAAGGGGACAGGAATCCTCACCCAGCCAGCTCACAGCCTCGTAATTCTCCTGCATCACATCCCTGTAGAGGGCTCTCTGGCCCGGGTCCAGCAGAGCCCATTCCTCCTCAGAAAAATACACAGCCACCTCCTCAAAGTTCACTGGCTCCACCACGGCCATTTCCTTTCCCTGATTCTGCAGGCCAGGGGCTGAGCAGGAGACAGACATGAGTGTTCTGCAGCCTGTCAGGGGGAGAAGGGGAATTGGAGACATTTCAAAAAGGGTTTTAATCCTTTCCACACCTCGATTCTGCCCAGACTCTGTCCCTGGTGGAAAACATGCTGGACTCTACGCTGAGTCTAGATATTCCACAAACACCACACACAAGTTAGATCCAAATGCTGTATTTATTACTCTCAAAACCTGGCTTCAGTTACATTACCTTGCCTGCAACAATGGGATTCAGTTCTCAGCACCTAGTGTTTCTGCTAACAAGCCACATATTCATTTGCCTGAACATGGACATAGGTTAAATTTAATTTGGGCTGCAGTATTTATAATCCGTAGTCTTCATGCATTGATTTGCAGCCCAAACTTTGGTTCTCTCATCTGACAGACTTTATAAACTCTCTCCACAACAGAGAGTAAGTGAAGTTAATATGAGTATTCAGATACATATTATTAAACACGTGTGCTGAGCATTTGCAGGATAAAACCTTAAAATTCATAGATTCATGGCAACAGAAACTATCCTTAGCCATGCAGTCTGTACCCTCTGCTGCACAAGCAATTACACTTAGCCCAGCTACCCAGGCACAAAGTTTGTTTCCCCACAGGATGTTTTCTAGAAAGTCGCCAAGTGTTGATTTGAAGACATCAAGAGATGAAGAACCCACCAGTTCTCTGCTCATTTGTTTCAGCAGCGAATCCTCTTACCCATCAAATATTTGTGCCTCCTCTCTAGCCTGAAATTCTCCGGCTGCAGCTTTCAGGTATTGACTCTCACTGTATCCACTAGATATGGGGTGGGCAATTCATTTTGATGGCATTTGGAAAGTGGTTGAGAGCTGCACTCTTCCAAGACATTAAGCAGGAAATAGAGCGTATGGGATGGACACTGGGAGAAGAAGGGAGCTTTGGGTTAGGCTTTGGGATGCAGGAGGGAAAGGGGTCTAGGAAGGAGTTGGGGTGAAAGAGGCAGGGGTGATCTGGGGCACTGGATTAGCCAACCACTCATGAAAAAGTTAATTTAGAGAAGTGGCTGAGTGGACAAATAAGGGGTTGAGGGTTTCTGACAATGAAGAGCTTCTTGCATACTTGAATGCAGGAAGAGAACAAAGAGTTTGGGTATGTGGAATGGGGGGCAGGAGTGGGGAGGGCAGAGAATTAGGAGAGGAAGAGAGAGGTTGGGGTGCCAGAGGCAAGCTTTAACCAGGAGACTTACCTGAGTGACTCCCAACCAGCAGCCAAGCACCTCTCTAAGGCAGGCAGGGAGCCTGCCCAATCCTTGCACAGGCTGCGGGGCTATGTGGGTGTGTGAATAAATATGAGCCAGAGGGGAGAGGGCACAGTGCTTCCTTTCTGGCCAGAAACCAGCCAATGAGATTGTCCTGGGAGTGGAAGCAGTGCCTGTAGCCTTCCTGTTTCACCTCTGGGCTCACCTTTGCTCTTAGTGGCTTGCAGGTGGGAAGTGGCAAGCACGGAACTAGCCCATTGCTCGACAAGCATCAGTGAGCCAGATCCGATGGCCTGGTGAGCTAGATCCAACCCATGGGCTGTATTTTGCCCAGGCCTGCACTAGACCGAAGAGCCCTTAGGGATCCAGCAATTTCTTGCCATGAACAAACTGATACCCGTGGAAGCCAGACAGCTCCCAGCTTTTCAGCCTATATACTGTTTGAAACCAACCCCATATTGAAACTGACTGAGCAGTGAAATCTGAGCCTGAAGGTGCCATTCATTGTGTGCTTTAACTTCACCCCTTTAGCATCACACCTCATAGATCAGTGTTTCTCAAAGTGTCTGCAGGTCCCCATGCAGCGCCCCTGTGGCTCCTCACTGATCAGTGGGTGAGATTTAGGGCTATGTGCACCGTGGTCACTGGGTCTGGTTGGTAACTTCAATGACAATCCCATGAAGATGTTTTCACAGGAATTTTCTCATCATTTAAAGAATTTCCACCAGCAAACTCACCTTGTCTGAAAGCTCCCAGTGATTTTCCTCTTGCTCTCTCCAGTGCCGAGGGCAGAGTGTCTGGTGGGGAAGGAATAAGAGGTGAGATTCCAGGCTCTCCTCTTTATAACAATGTTCCCATGCTGAACTCTGCATTTCACTTGTATCAAAGACCAGACAGAGACACACTCAAGTGTTTAGTATGAAAAGGTCAGAAACCTTCCGTGTCCTCTCTCGCTTAGGTACCTCCCAGCAATGGAGCCAACATCTCTGCAACCTCATCCCTGCCCCAGGAGACACAAACTGAAAGTGAGATTTACTTTTCCCTCCTCATCCCCTCCCACCTGGTTTCTCTCAGTCACGAACCACCTCTTGTCATAACCTAGAGCTGTGCTGGTGCGAAGACGTTGCCATGACATTAACTTTACCTATTTTGATACCTTGACAGAAACAGGAGGCTCAGAGATTGCAAACCCCTGGCTCTATTTGCAAGCAGTTGACTCTGTTTGCTCAGTGCCTCTAAGGAGAGCAGCATAATGGGGCCGTCACTCTCCATGTGGGAACTGAGACAGGGGAAGGTGGCTTCAGAGGCCAGATTCAATAGCTTCTAATAGTTAAACAACTTTCCCCTACTCCATCCCTTCTAAGTACCTTTGAATTCCCTCAGAGTCTCTGACAGCGCAATCGTTTTCTGGGAGAAAGCATTGACTTGTTCTTCCAGTTCAGGGGAAATCTCCTCTGGCAGCTGGAACTGCCCCGTCTCACACCTGGACAGAAACAATTCCATGTGATTCTATTTCATTTACAGATAATAAGATTTAGCTAGTGAGTCTCAGCTCTAACAGGCCTGGAGTTAGAATTCCTTGAATTCCCCCAGCCTGAGACCTGGAGCTAATAGCAACTGACATCTTGATGCCAAATATTAGGACCACTTGGAACATGCATGAAACCGGGATTAGAAAAGGTAAAAGACTGTCATTTTAGACAAATGAAACTACAAAGAAGCTTGACGGGTATTTGGCGTCTTCAGGAGAGACCATGGAGCTGCTGTACTCTTCTTCTAGAATTAGGGAGCTGTGCACCAGGGCCAACAGACCTCTGTCTCCATCAGCTGCCTGTGAGAGATTCTTCCCTGTGATGGACTCATTTTTTCATAGACAAGCAAGGATTGGTCAATTTGAAAAAAGATGCTCCTATGGTTGAACAAACATTTTGGAAATTAATCATTACAATGGAAAAATGCACACCGTGAATGTGGACAAAATAAATAAATACATTTCTGTAATCTGACTTGAATTTAATTTGGTCCCTCTTCATCTTTATAAATGAAGGCAGTGACTATCGTTAAATTCCATCATTGAAAAATGTACCGTATAGGTGTACATATAATATAGAATTATATTATAAGTGTTTATATAGTGCATTTGTGTGTGTGTTTGTGTGTGTGTTAGTGGTGACCTGCAAGAAGTCGGGTGATTAAGCATAGGGTTCCATAGGACAACTAATGTTTACTTTTGCATACTTAAGAACAATTAAGATAGGATACTTTTTGTACTTTCACTGAAGTAGTTTTACAGAAGATTACTTTGATTTTTACTTACATTTGTTTCAAAGTAGCAGGACTTTGAGTTGCATTGCACAGAGTAGTGACAGTACAAGACATTGCATTTGCAAAAATATACAGCTCGAGTGGGCCGGGCGAAGTGCGGGGGGGTCTGCCGCCCTCCTGAGCCTGCCCAGCGCCTCCCAGGTGAATAAGGGATTAAAATAAATGTTGAGGCAAATAAAAAGGCCCTTTGCCTGGGCCACTCTCTGACTCGTGCCTCATCCCCACTGGGGAAGCTGCTTTAACCCCCTGCCCTGCACTCTCTTTCCCCGATGCCCACCCCCTCACCACCCTATGCCCCTATTCCCCTCATGTCCCTGTGCCCTCACTCATGCCTTGCTGCATCCCTGCCTTCCTCACACCCACCCCTCCTTTCGAGCCTTCTCCCAGCACCTCCCAGTCCCCCTTTAACTCCCAATGCCCTTACCCTCTCCTCTCCCAGCATCACCCTGTCCCCCCTCCCACTAACACCTTCTCTCCTGCCCTTTTCCTCTGTGTCTCCACTTGGCCCCCTGGCATTTGTCTCACCTCCTCTTTCTTCTCCTGGCCTGCCCCCTCCCGTCAGCACAAGCCCCTTCCTCTGCCATCCACCTTCTCCCTTCCAGTGTGCAGGGCAGCCCGGCCTGGCCCAGGCTCCAGGCCATGTGCCAAACAGAGCAGTGAAACGCTGGGCCGCGCGGTTTTAAAGTCCCAGGCCGTGGCATCACGCGCATGTGCACCCTTGGCCCCACGGGGCCTGCACTGGCCGGCGCCGGGGAATTTCAGAAGTGCAGGGCTGCGGCCACAATCCTCCCCTTTCAAAAGGGAATTTCCCTTTCCTCCTCCAGCAGCCGCTGTTAACCCCCCTGCCCCCCGCGGTGGGGCTTTGCTCTCGGTGTTGCAGAGTTTATCTGGTGCCCCGCCCCACACCAGACCTGAGTCTGCCCAGACCCATCCTAGCCCCGCCCCCTGCATCTGCCCTGACCCCCATCAAGTCCACGTGAAGCCGCCTCCACTGCGGAGCCGTGTCACCCTCAGGGCACTCACAGTGTGCGGACAGAGAGACAGGCAAGGGCTGCACATGTGCAGTGCCTGGGCAGGAGCCCAAAGTGGCACCACCTCTCAGGTGAGCATCTCCCACCCCCCTCTGCGCACTGTCCCGGGACAAACCAGACGCGCCGGGCAGAAGCCGGGACTGGCCCACGTGGGCATCTGTCATGATTATGAGGGTTAGCCAGCAGCCTGGGGATTAAAGGGTTAACTACACCTAGCCAGGTGGAGTGACCAATAAGAATGTAGGTGGGACTTTTCAAACTGGGACAAAGGAATTTGGGTTTTTTTTCCTTTCTCCCTTTTGTCTCTCTGAGAGAGTTCTCTGCAGCTACAGAGAGGGACAAGCATCTCTCTCTCTCTCTCCAAGACATCATTCTTCATTTTCTGTAAGCAGGGTAAAGTTTAGGCAGTTTCGTTAGGCTTTATTGTGTTAAGGATTGGGTATGGGATCTGAGATCTGGCACTGCTTAAAAGATGTTTTGGCTTTTCTTTGTAACTAAGTTCTAGGCCCATGGAGTTTCTCCATGAGTATATTTTGTTACCTCCCTGTCTAGTCATTATGGTTGCAACAGGAATATTGTTGTAATAATAAAGGTTCTTTCTTTTCTTTTTATTAACCTGGCAGTGGTTAATTGTGTGCCTTGATTTTTATTTTAGGGGTAAGATTTCCCAAATGATCTTTCCCCTGATTTCTTTATCAACATTTGGGTGGTGGCAGCGGAAGTTTTATTCCCAAGATCTAGGTTTTTAAGATCTTGGGGGGAAGTTTTATACCAAAGCCTGGTAGATAAGGCTTTGGGGTACACTTGCTGGCCCCCACTTCTGCATTTATCATGCCAGAGTGGGGAAGGAGTCATGACATGTACCACTCATAGAAACACAGAACCAAGCAATGAGTGTTCTCCTAATCAGCCAGGTGGCATCTGAATCTCTCCTGAGTGCCTGCACAAGCACCCAGCTCACAAGGAACTACACTGCTGATTAGAAAGATGATGTGGTCTGGGGGGCCAGGGAATGAGAGACGTCCTACTGCAAAGGGTTGCATTGTTTTCCTTGCTGTGATTGAAGCTTTCATCAATGGCACTAGATGAGTGTTGTTTTTTTGTACTTTCACTGAAGTAGTTTTACAGAAGATTACTTTGATTTTTACTTACATTTGTTTCAAAGTAGCAGGACTTTGAGTTGCATTGCACAGAGTAGTGACAGTACAAGACATTGCATTTGCAAAAATATACAGCTCGAGTGGGCCGGGCGAAGTGCGGGGGGGTCTGCCGCCCTCCTGAGCCTGCCCAGCGCCTCCCAGGTGAATAAGGGATTAAAATAAATGTTGAGGCAAATAAAAAGGCCCTTTGCCTGGGCCACTCTCTGACTCGTGCCTCATCCCCACTGGGGAAGCTGCTTTAACCCCCTGCCCTGCACTCTCTTTCCCCGATGCCCACCCCCTCACCACCCTATGCCCCTATTCCCCTCATGTCCCTGTGCCCTCACTCATGCCTTGCTGCATCCCTGCCTTCCTCACACCCACCCCTCCTTTCGAGCCTTCTCCCAGCACCTCCCAGTCCCCCTTTAACTCCCAATGCCCTTACCCTCTCCTCTCCCAGCATCACCCTGTCCCCCCTCCCACTAACACCTTCTCTCCTGCCCTTTTCCTCTGTGTCTCCACTTGGCCCCCTGGCATTTGTCTCACCTCCTCTTTCTTCTCCTGGCCTGCCCCCTCCCGTCAGCACAAGCCCCTTCCTCTGCCATCCACCTTCTCCCTTCCAGTGTGCAGGGCAGCCCGGCCTGGCCCAGGCTCCAGGCCATGTGCCAAACAGAGCAGTGAAACGCTGGGCCGCGCGGTTTTAAAGTCCCAGGCCGTGGCATCACGCGCATGTGCACCCTTGGCCCCACGGGGCCTGCACTGGCCGGCGCCGGGGAATTTCAGAAGTGCAGGGCTGCGGCCACAATCCTCCCCTTTCAAAAGGGAATTTCCCTTTCCTCCTCCAGCAGCCGCTGTTAACCCCCCTGCCCCCCGCGGTGGGGCTTTGCTCTCGGTGTTGCAGAGTTTATCTGGTGCCCCGCCCCACACCAGACCTGAGTCTGCCCAGACCCATCCTAGCCCCGCCCCCTGCATCTGCCCTGACCCCCAGATCACCTCCATTAATATCATGGAACTGCGGAGCCGTGTCACCCTCAGGGCACTCACAGTGTGCGGACAGAGAGACAGGCAAGGGCTGCACATGTGCAGTGCCTGGGCAGGAGCCCAAAGTGGCACCACCTCTCAGGTGAGCATCTCCCACCCCCCTCTGCGCACTGTCCCGGGACAAACCAGACGCGCCGGGCAGAAGCCGGGACTGGCCCACGTGGGCATCTGTCATGATTATGAGGGTTAGCCAGCAGCCTGGGGATTAAAGGGTTAACTACACCTAGCCAGGTGGAGTGACCAATAAGAATGTAGGTGGGACTTTTCAAACTGGGACAAAGGAATTTGGGTTTTTTTTCCTTTCTCCCTTTTGTCTCTCTGAGAGAGTTCTCTGCAGCTACAGAGAGGGACAAGCATCTCTCTCTCTCTCTCCAAGACATCATTCTTCATTTTCTGTAAGCAGGGTAAAGTTTAGGCAGTTTCGTTAGGCTTTATTGTGTTAAGGATTGGGTATGGGATCTGAGATCTGGCACTGCTTAAAAGATGTTTTGGCTTTTCTTTGTAACTAAGTTCTAGGCCCATGGAGTTTCTCCATGAGTATATTTTGTTACCTCCCTGTCTAGTCATTATGGTTGCAACAGGAATATTGTTGTAATAATAAAGGTTCTTTCTTTTCTTTTTATTAACCTGGCAGTGGTTAATTGTGTGCCTTGATTTTTATTTTAGGGGTAAGATTTCCCAAATGATCTTTCCCCTGATTTCTTTATCAACATTTGGGTGGTGGCAGCGGAAGTTTTATTCCCAAGATCTAGGTTTTTAAGATCTTGGGGGAAGTTTTATACCAAAGCCTGGTAGATAAGGCTTTGGGGTAC